CCAGAACTAAACGGGACCAAACCAAGAATCAACCAGAACTAAACCAGGACTGAACCAGGACTAAACCAGGACTAAACCAAGACTAAACCAGGACTAAACCAAGACTAAACCAGGACTAAACCAGACTAAACCAGGACTAAAGGAGTAACACAGATTACGTCGTCGTGCTCGTGCTCGTGCTCGCGCTCGTTTCCCGCCCGTTTATCTCGGCGGGTGTGTTCGCGTCTGTTACGTCCGACCTTTGACCCGGCGTTGGGCAACAGCGGCGTGTACACTTTGTGATGTCGTTATCAGACGGTCGTTTACGCTGAGCAAACACGCCGCTGTGCTCACTGTGCCCCGCCGAGAGCGACAGGGCGGGAGCGGCAGGAGCGGCAGGAGCGGCAGGAGCGGCAGGAGCGGCAGGGACCACAGGGTTTATCACCAAAGTTACATAAATGTCAAAAGTTAAAGTTAAAGGGACATTTTTTTTTTCTATTTTCTGATCTATTCTAACAGTCAGAATGTTTGTTTTTCGAGGTATTTTTGAGTCATAAATCCACCTTTAATTGAGTAAATGTAAAGTCGAGCTGTTTAAAGTCACACTGCGGAACATTCCAGGCAGATCAGTGGCGTATCCATGGAAACAAGCAGGTGGCAGACCCTCAACCGAAAAGTTACAGTCCGGTCCCTGTGTGACCGGAGCAGGAGCTGTGTTCGTTGCCGGCAGTGAGTCAGACCTGTTCCCGGTGCATGTTGGACTCCGGCAGGGCCGCACCTGTCACCGGTTCTGTTCAGTTGTGTTTATGGACAGAGTTTCCGGGCCACAGGATCATCTCTGCTGTTTGTAGATGATGTCGTCCTGTTGGCTTCATCAGACCAGGACCTGCAGCTCTGGGGCCGTTTGACCCGAGTGTGAAGCGTCTGGGGTGAAGATCAGCTCTTCTAAGTCCGAGGTCTTGGTTCTCGACTGGAAAAAGGCGTCTTGTCTCCGGGTGGAGAGTCTCTGCCTCAAGTGGAGGAGTTCAAGTCTGTCGGGGTTTTGTTCTGGAGTGAGGGGAGGACGGAGCGAGAGATTGACAGGTGGACAGGTGCAGCGTGAGATTGACAGGTGGACAGGTGCAGCGTGAGATTGACAGGTGGACAGGTGCAGCGTGAGATTGACAGGTGGACAGGTGCAGCGTGAGATTGACAGGTGGACAGGTGCAGCGTGAGATTGACAGGTGGACAGGTGCAGCGTGAGATTGACAGGTGCAGGTGCAGCAGTGCAGCAGGTCGCTGTATCGGTCGTTGTGGTGAAGAGGAGCTGAGCCCAAAGGTGAAGCTCTCGATTTACTGTCAGTCTTCGTTCCTCCTCTCACCTCTGGTCATGACTCTGGGTAATGACGGAAATGACGAGATCAACGATACAAGCGACACAAATGAGTTTCCTCCGCAGGGCGTCTGGGCGTCTCCCTTAGAGACAGAGTGAGGAGCTCAGTCACACAGGAGGAGCTCGGAGTAGAGCCGCTGCTCCTCCACGTGGAGAGGAGCAGTTGAGGCTCGAGCATCTGTTCTGATGTCTCCTGGACGTGTCCCTCAGGAGGTGTTCATGTCCCACTGGGAGGAGGCCCCGGGGAAGAACCAGGACACACTGGAGGGACGATGTCTCTGGACTGGACTGGGAACACCTCAGGTCCCCCTGGAGGAGCTGGAGGAAGTGTCTGGGGTGAAGGAAGTCTGGGAGTCTCTGCTTAGACTGATGCCCCCGAGACCCGACCCCAGATAAACTAAAGAAAATGAATGGATGAACGTTGCCCAGGAGTGACCAGGATTCAAAATCAAAAACTGTGACACTCCCGGGCTGCGGTGGTTGGTAATAAGGTTTAGTCCTGGTTTAGTCCTGGTTTAGTCCTGGTTTCCTGGTTTAGTCCTGGTTTAGTTCTGGTTTAGTCCTGGTTTAGTCCTGGTTTTAGTCCTGGTTTAGTCCTGGTTTAGTCCTGGTTTAGTCCTGGTTTAGTCCTGGTTTAGTCCTGGTTTTAGTCCTGGTTTAGTCCTGGTTTTAGTCCTGGTTTAGTCCTGGTTTAGTCCTGGTTTAGTCCTGGTTTTAGTCTGGTTTAGTCCTGGTTTAGTCCTGGTTCAGTCCTGGTTTTGTCCTGGTTTAGTTCTGGTTTAGTCCTGGTTTAGTCCTGGTTTAGTCCTGGTTTAGTCCTGGTTTAGTCCTGGTTTAGTCCTGGTTTAGTCCTGGTTTAGTCCTGGTTTAGTCCTGGTTTAGTCCTGGTTTTAGTCCTGGTTTAGTCCTGGTTTAGTCCTGGTTTTAGTCCTGGTTTTAGTCCTGGTTTAGTCCTGGTTTAGTCCTGGTTTTGGTCCTGGTTTTAGTCCTGGTTTAGTCCTGGTTTAGTCCTGGTTTAGTCCTGGTTTTAGTCCTGGTTTAGTCCTGGTTCAGTCCTGGTTTAGTCCTGGTTTTAGTCCTGGTTTAGTCCTGGTTTAGTCCTGGTTTAGTCCTGGTTTAGTCCTGGTTTAGTCCTGGTTTAGTCCTGGTTTAGTCCTGGTTTAGTCCTGGTTCAGTCCTGGTTTAGTCCTGGTTTAGTCCTGGTTTAGTCCTGGTTTAGTAGTTCTGGTTTAGTCCTGGGTTTAGTCCTGGTTTTAGTCCTGGTTTAGTCCTGGTTCAGTCCTGGTTTAGTCCTGGTTTAGTCCTGGTTTAGTCCTAGTTCCTGGTTTTAGTCCTGGTTTAGTCCTGGTTTAGTCCTGGTTTAGTTCTGGTTTAGTTCCTGGTTTAGTCCTGGTTTAGTCCTGGTTTAGTCCTGGTTTAGTCCTGGTTTAGTCCTGGTTTAGTCCTGGTTTAGTCCTGGTTTAGTCCTGGTTTAGTCCTGGTTCCTGGTTTAGTCCTGGTTTAGTCCTGGTTCTGGTTTAGTTCCTGGTTTAGTTCTGGTTTTAGTCCTGGTTTAGTTCTGGTTTAGTCCTGGTTTAGTTCTGGTTTAGTCCTGGTTTAGTCCTGGTTTAGTCCTGGTCCTGGTTTAGTCCTGGTTTAGTCCTGAGTCCTGGTTTAGTCTGGTTTAGTCCTGGTTTCAGTCCTGGTTTAGTCCTGGTTTAGTTCTGGTTTAGTTCCTGGTTTAGTTCTGGTTTAGTTTAGTCTGCTGGTTTAGTTCTGGTTTAGTCCTGGTTTAGTCTGGTTTAGTCCTGGTTTAGTCCTGGTTTAGTCCTGGTTTAGTCCTGGTTCAGTCCTGGTTTAGTCCTGGTTTAGTCCTGGTTTAGTCCTGGTTTAGTCCTGGTTTAGTCCTGGTTTAGTCCTGGTTTAGTCCTGGTTTAGTCCTGGTTTAGTCCTGGTTTAGTCCTGGTTTAGTCCTGGTTTAGTTCTGGTTTAGTCCTGGTTTAGTCCTGGTTTAGTCCTGGTTTAGTTCTGGTTTAGTTCTGGTCTGTGGGAGAATCTGTGAGTCACAATTAGAGTAAACGAAAAGTTCAGAAGCAAATGTGGAAACAGCAACAACTGAAGTAAAACTGTTTGTAGTAATAGTACCACCAAAAACAGTAGTAGTAGTAGTAGTAATAGTAGTAGTAGTAGTAATAGTAATAGTAGTAGTAGTAATAATAGTAGTAGTACTAGTAGTAGTCATGCTAAAGGTCATATGACACAAAACTGAGCTGGAGGTGTTTGTTTCATTCACACGTTTGAGTAAAACTGTACATCCCAACAACAGCACCCAACAGCACCCAGCAGCACCCAACAGCAGCACCCAGCAGCACCCAGCAGCACCCAGCAGCAGCCCAGCAGCACCCAACAGCACCCAGCACCCAGCAGCACCCAGCAGCACCCAGCAGCACCCAACAGCACCCAGCAGCACCCAACAGCACCCAAGCAGCAGCACCCAGCAGCAGCACCCAGCAGCACCCAGCAGCAGCACCCAACAGCACCCAGCAGCACCCAGCAGCAGCACCCAGCAGCAGCACCCAGCAGCAGCACCCAGCAGCACCCAACAGCAGCACCCAGCACAGCACCCAGCAGCACCCAGCAGCAGCACCCAGCACAGCACCCAGCACCCAGCACCCAGCACCCAGCACCCCAGCAGCACCCAACAGCACCCAGCACAGCACCCAGCAGCACCCAGCACCCAGCACCCAGCACCCAACAGCACCCAGCACCCAACAGCACCCAACAGCACCCAACAGCACCCAACAGCACCCAGCAGCAGCACCCAGCAGCACCCAGCAGCACCCAACAGCACCCAACAGCACCCAACAGCACCCAACAGCACCCAACAGCACCCAACAGCACCCAACAGCAGCACCCAGCAGCAGCACCCAGCACCCAGCAGCACCCAGCAGCCCAGCACCCAGCAGCACCCAGCACCCAGCAGCACCCAGCAGCACCCAGCACCCAGCACCCAGCACCCAACAGCACCCAACAGCACCCAACAGCACCCAACAGCACCCAGCAGCACCAACAGCACCGCACCCCATGTTCATTGCTCCTCAGCCCACTTCCTGGCGTTGTGTTTCTGCTGCAGATTCGGTCACGAGACAAACAGGAAGTGTGTGTGTGTGAGTACGGCACGTTTTCGGTGAGACTCTGCAGATGGGTGCCGACGGGTGCAGACGGGTGCAGACGGGTGCAGACGGGTGCAGACGGGTGCAGACGGGTGCAGACGGGTGCAGACGGGTGCAGACGGGTGCAGACGGGTGCAGACGGGTGCAGACGGGTGCAGACGGGTGCAGACGGGTGCAGACGGGTGCAGACGGGTGCAGACGGGTGCAGACAGGTGAGGGCCCAGACCTCAGATTCTACAAGTTACACAATCACAATGTGTCATGGAGACGATTAAAGCTAAATTATGTAACTTTTCTGGTGGGGGGGAGGGGTCTGTCACCTCCTTGTCTCCATGGATACGTCATCGCTCTGTCCGGAATGTTCCACAGTGTGACTTTAAGCAGCTCTACTTTACACTTATTCAGTTACAGGTGGTTTTTAGAGCTTAAAAATACTTCAAATAACAGACGTTCTGACTGTGAGCGGGGGTCGCCTCTCCACAGATCTGAGCTGGAACTTGGTCTGGTCTGGTTTGGTCTCCATGGAAACAACCAGAAAAGTTCCAGAGTGCAGCTTTAAGGTGAAGGTAAGACTCTCGCACGTGGAAAAAGCAAAAACTTAAAAATAGCTACTTGATTTTTGACTCTCTACTACTTTCTACTTGTACTTAAAGCTGCACTGTGTAAATTTTTCTGATTGTGGGTCTGTCTCCTCCTTGTTTCCATGGATACATCTCTGCTCTGTCTGGAATGTTCCACAGTGTGACTTTAAGCAGCTCGACTTTACTTTTATTCAATTAAAAGTGGTTTTAAAGCTCAAAAATACAGAGAAAAAACATTGTGACTGTGAGTGGGGTCGCCTCTCCACAGATCTGACCTGGAACTTCTTGGTCTCAGTTCGTCTCCATGGAGATAGAAAGGTTTAATGCCACACTGTGGAACATTCCAGACAAAGGAATAACTAAAATCTCCATGGAGAAAAGCGTTTGATGAACCCTCCACCAGAAAAGTTACACCGAAGTTACACAGCTTAAGTACAGATGTTATTGATGCTCTCCGCAGATCTGACCTGTAAATAACATCTCCATGGAAACAAGCAGGGGGAAGCTGTCTACCAGAAAAGTTCCAGAGTGCAGCTTTAAGATGAAGGTAAGAGTCTCACTCATGGAAAAAGCAAAAACTAAATAATGACTTGACTTTTTGACTCTTATTTGAGCAGTTTCTTGGACACTTTGCACTTGTACTTAAAGCTGCACTGCGCAACTTTTCTAGTGGAGATGTCCAGCACCTGCTTGTTTCCATGGATACGTCATTGCTCTGCCTGGAATGTTCCACAGTGTGACTTTAAACCAATTCCAGGTGGTTTTATCGCTCAAAAATGCTTCGAAAAACAGATATTCTGACTGTGAGCGGGGCCGCCTCTCCACAGATCTGACCTGGAGATTCTTGGTCTCAGTTCGTCTCCATGGAGATAGAAAGGTTTAATGCCACACTGCGGAACATTCCAGACAAAGCAACGACTAAAATGTCCACAGAGAAAAGTACAGACATTATTATTGCTCAAAAACACCTTAAAAAATTGTGCGTTCTTATCGAGAATCGGGTCGCCTCTCCACAGATCTGACCTGGAACTTGGTCTCAGTTCGTCTCCATGGAGTTAGAAAGGTTTAAAGCCAGACTGCGGAACATTCCAGACAAATTAACAACTAAAATGTCCATGGAGAAAAGTAAAGACGTTATTAAAAAATTAATTAACATCTTAAAACATCTCAAAAACATTTTGTAAAATCGTGCGTTCTTATCGAGAATCGGGTCGCCTCTCCACAGATCTGACCCGGAGCTCGGTCTGGTTTGGTCTCCACGGAGACAGAAAGTGACGGTCTTTTTTTAAAGCTCGTTTTGTTGGGTTTTTGACGAGTTAAACGAGGTGAGAGCGGCGCAGACTTTCTCTTAAACACCTCTAACATTTGCTCTGTGCGCCAGTCGAGTTTGTTTTTCTCGTTGCTACGAGAGACGACGAAGGAAGGAAGGAAGGAACGACCACGGAAAGACTGCAAACGAAAGAGAGGAAGAGGAGGAGGAAGAGGAGGAGAGGAAGAAGAGAGGAGGAGGAGGAGGAGTGTGCAGAGGTCTCCAGGGGTCGTCTGCTCTTTGTGACGAGAGAGAGAGAGAGAGAGACTTCCTGTTTCTGAGAGAACACAAGAAAAACAGAAGAGAAAGAGAGAGAGAGAGAGAGAGAGAGAGAGAGAAGAGAGAAAGGAGACAGAAAGAAAGAAAGATGGGGGGGAGAGCAGGAGGGCAGAAGGAAGGACAGAGAGAGAAAGAAAGGAAGGAAAGGAAGAAAGAAAAGAAAGGGGAGAGAGAGAGAGGGAGAGAGTGGGAGAAAGAGAGAGAGAGATCGATAAAGAGAAAGAGAGAGAGAGAGAGAGAGACGGGGGCTGGGGTAGAGGAGGATGTCGGTGAGAGAAATGAAAGAGAGAAAGTGAGGGAGAAAGGGTGAGACAGAAGGAGAGAGAGAGATAAAGAGAGAGAGAGAGAGAGAGATAAAGAGAGAGAGAGAAAGAGAGAAAGAGATAAAGAGAGAGTGAATTGACAGAGGCCAAAATTAAAAACTGGGACTAAGTCTTGGGCCAAACTAAATATTTATAGAAAAATTTCATCATCTGCATGTTTCTCTTCTTTCCAGATCTGTGAATTTTAATCCTTTTCTTATTAAAATAAAAGTTTAATAATAGTTTTGTTAAAATATTGAATCCAGAACAAACAGAATATAAAATAATATCATTTTAAATATTTATTTCTTTACACCGTCTGTGTGCGGCAGCAGATCTGATACAGGTTTGATATGATCTCATGGGACAAATATGAGTTTGACATGTCTGATGTGAATGAAGGAGAGAACGAGAGAGAAGCAGAGAGAGAAAAGAGAAAGAAAGAGAGAAAGAGACAGAGAGATAAAGAGAGTTGGATGTAGTGGAAGTTGTTGTGTTGATCTTTTGCTCTTTGTCCTCGTTTACTGAGGCTCTGCTCCAAATGTGGAGTTTGTCTGTTTACTTTTATTATTTATTTAATCTATTTGATAAACTCTTCTTCTCTTCTTCTCTTCTTCCTGCTCTCGTCTCCATGGAGATGTTGTTGTTGATTTTCTTTAATGTTTTATTAGTGTTTTATTTATTTGTTTCTGTGTTTATAGTTTAGTCCAGGAGTGTCAAACATACGGCCCGGGGGCCAGATCCGGCCCTCCAAGACCTTTAATCTGGCCCTCGGCTGATTTTCTACTCAAATAATTTATGATTTTTATTAAAATGTTGTTAATTTTCTGTGGTGTTTATCACAGCAGCGTCTCCAGCGTCTCTGTACGTGGCCCCTCCCACCAGAGCAGCACAAATGAAGACTTGTCTCTTTCCAAACGCTCTTAAAGGACGATCGTTTTGACTGTTGACCGTGACACCCTCATCAGAAAAATGTCCAACATGAGAAAAGTGGAGCCGAGTGCAGGATTTTACAACAAAAATGGACTTATTCCTGTTTACAGAACAAGTTCATGTTCAAAACTTTGTATTGAAATTATATTTTTCTTAAAGTTTCAGGTTGTTCATAATATTATAATATTTTTGTAAAAGTTCATCAATTAAAAAAGATTTCTGTAATAGATTTGTGTTTCTCTGCACAAATATTTGAACTTATTGTTATTTTTGGGGTTTATATGACATGAGTTTTCTGATCCGGACACTTTGGATCAAAGTCGGTTGGACACGACCCCCGGAACAAAATGAGTTTGACTCGACAGCAGCTCCTTTAAATATTCATTCATTTGCATAAAATTTTGACCCAAATATTTTGGCCAAATATGAAACCAAACACAGACAGAGAATCTAGAGCAGAGTTTCCCAAAGAGTCGTGATCCTCAGGTGGGTTCAGGAGATGTTTTTTTGGGGTCACGTTGTCATGATCTGCATGTCACTCTGTCATGTACAGTCATGACACGTGAAGAATCCCTCAGTCGTTCAGGTAGAATCAACGACGAGGAGAAAACTCAGTTTGTCGACTGGACAAAGGTTAGTTTGGTTGGAGATGTTTTGCAGCTCGTCCAAGTTGCTTCTTCAGTTCTGGAACTGGAAGATTCCCAAAACTGTACAGTCAAAGACACACGTTCAAATGTTAAGACACGTTTTGTTTCATTTCTAATCTTTATGTGATTGTTTTATTGACTGTTTTGTTTCGATGTTGCTGCTTCAGTTGAATGTTGAAAAGAAAAAGAAACGTTCTGCATTTAATGTTCAAATATTTATTTTATTTTATTTATTTCATTCATAAAGCATAAAAAACATCGACAGTTTCACAACATCAAACACACAAGAAATGAAAGAAAAGGAGCAGAAAGAAGAAAAAATCTTTAGATCTTTAACTTTAATCTGAAATATTTGACTTCTGGATCCTTTTATTTCTGCTTCAAACTGTTTTTTATTGTTTAAAACTTGAGTAAAACTAAATGTTCAGAGAACACGATCAGTCAGACAATAAAATCTCCTCGTTCATCTTCAATAATCCAACTTTTATTTTGTGATTTATGAATAAATGTCTAATGTTTTGGGTCATGAAGGTTTGTCACTTTTAAAATATCCCAGAAAAAAAGTTTGGAAAACACTGAACTAGAGAATCTTAAAAAATAAAATAAAATGTGTTTGCTGTGTCGCCACGGTAACCGCTGAACATTCCTCCCGTAGAGTTGCATGTAGATCCCCCCGCGGCGTCCTGCGCTCACTCCCGTATTGATCTCCGCGCCGTCGTTCTGGGAATTGTTTTTTGCCGATCGATTTTTCCCGCTGAAACTTTGGACGCGGCGGATTTTTTTGCGCAACTGGAATCTGTGGAAATCTGAAGTTCACCTTTGGTCAAGAGACGCCGCGCCGACCAATCAGAACGCTCGATACTGAGACGCCCACGACAGGCAGAGCGGGTTCAACGGAGAAACGGAAACGACTGGAGCCGAGATTCAGAGAGAAAAAGAGAAAAAATACAGAAAATGTTTGAGAAAATCTACGTAATTAAAAATAAAAACGTGAAATGAGAAAAAAAAATCTGTGTTTTTATTTGTTTTCTGTCGTGATTTTCTCATTCACAAACTGATAGACAGAAGAAGAAAAGAGGGAGAGAGAAAGAGAGAGCGGGGGTGGAGGAAAAGAGAGAGACAGAGAAAGAAAAAAAGAGCGGGATGGAGAAGATAGAAATAGAGAGAAACAGAGAGAGAGAGAAAAAGAGGAGGGGATAAAAAGAGAGAGAGGCAGAGGAAGAGAGAGAAGCGGAAAGAGAGAATAGTAAATCTGAATGAAGGAGTGGAGGATAGGAAAGAGAGACAGAGAGAGAGAGAAAGAAAGAAAGAAAGAGAAGGGGGGGAGAGAGAGTGAGGGAGCAGAGAGAGAAAGAAAAAGAGAAAGAAAGAAACAGGAGAGAAAGAGAACGGTAGGGAGAAAGTGGCACAGAAATGAAGAGAAAAAGAAAGAGAAGGGGAGAGAGA